TAAAACCAACAAAATGTAAGATTATAAAAACAAAACCTGAATCTTTAGTTTTAAGGCTGTGAAGCCTAGGAAATGAAGAGCAGACCATACAAGACCACCTATTTTCAGAATCCCTTACAGACTCCAGGGAGCAGAAGGGTTAATAAAACACATGAAGCTTGTGTCAAAAGAATATTTTATGTTGATATAGATAAATGTAATGACCAAAGGAAAAGTTTGCATAACAGTCTATGTAGATGACACTTATAAGGACAGTATAAAATACTTCAGAGTTGGAGTATTGAGGATGTCTTGTATATGGATCATCACATTTGTGTTGTTTTTTATTTTATTTAATAGGTCTTCATTTAAGCTTTGGTAGCCAAACTATATCTCAATTCTTTTGTTTCTGTGAAGTCCCATTGCTCTCAGGAGCACTGTCCAGACATCAGAAACCACACAAGTTTCTATCTAATTTTGAAAACTACATTGTGAGATTTCAGACTCAGAGCCTCAGGACAGTTTTCGCTCAGATATTACATGTTATTGGACCTTGTATACTCATGGCATTTCTTGAAAACACCTTTCCCAATCCTTATTTCAGATACCACTCCCCATGAGGAGGAAACAGAGGTGTGGCACTGGAAATTTTTCTTTCAACAAACCAGAAATGAATTCTCAGCATCACTAAAGTTTTCATTTCTATCTACAAATGCATAAAATTATTACCAAAATAACTACTGTGACCTAGCAGTAGTGGTTAATCTGTAAAATGTGTTTTGTGGCTTGTTGAACATTTTTGAAAGTAAATAAGTGCTTGTTTTTCATAACAAAATGAGTGGTTTGCTGCAGTTTGATGACTCAGGACAAAATAATGGATCTTGGAATCACTTATTGTCCTGTGTTGCCAGTGTAAATCTGGCCAAGATGCATAATGGCTGAAAGCTCTTGCAAAATTAGTGTCTGCTCATTGCCTTACATAAAATATATACTGCCCGATGAGAGGCAGCCAAGTCACAAATCTTACCACTGTCATTGGCATCCATGCTGGCGATCTCAGAAGAAGTCAGCTTTCTGAATGTCATGAAAAACAACGCGAGGTCTCCAGGTCTGGATTGTGAGACAGATTGTTACTGAAAGCTTAAAGGGCTCTTGCATTTCCATTTGGAGCAGCTGGCGGCGGGGAAATGAACTTTTAAAATGGAACTTGATCAGTTCGTGAAAAGAATTGTATGACATAACTGCATGTGACAACAGAAAAGAGGACATTGTACAGCAAATAGTACAAATATTCCTATCTTATGAGTTAAAAGAAAAAGAACAAAATCATCAGGGTTGTCGAAGTAGGACCTTTTTATAAGCTGAACTTCACAGTTATTTTTACAACAGCAATTCCTTTATTATAAGGGGACAGAATGTGAAAAGGCAAGTAATATTCATTCAGTTCAGTCAGTCAAACCGGCACTTCCATACAGGCTTTCATGCAAACCTGCTAAAGGCACTTTACTATCAAATAGAATAAAAGCCAAAAATAAGTTTAAATGCCAAGTCAAACAAATGCATCTTGCCAAAGACTCAAAATCATATGAATAATAACTATGGAGTTCAGCAGATTTGGAATATAATGCTTTACATAAGTCTTAGTCTCCAAATATACCTGTCAATATGGAGAAGAGATAATAAATTATCATAGGAGGATTGAGAAGCACGTGCAAGAATGTGAGGAATATAAAGGCTCTGGACAGTCCCCACCCAGAGTAGGTTCAACTGTGAAGCTTATTTGTTTTGTTAGGTGTAGGGGCAATTGCAGTGGCTAGGTTCAGTGGAGCAGGTAGGTGACTGCTGTTTCTTGTCGTTTCTTCTTCTTTTCTTCTAAAGGCTTCAGAAAAGGCTTTGAAATCCTTAAAATTAAAAACATGATAGAAGGATAAAACCAAACCCATTTTTCAGAATGCTTGACCACGTTCAATTCTTGTTCAAGAGAAGCAGAGACACACCTTGCTGTTTTGGTTTTACCAGTTTCATGTGGGTGAAGTTCCGAGGGAGGTGGAGTTAAGCAGGTCAGTCTGAGTCATTCAGCTGATTTTAGAAAATATTGCTCTAATACCACAGTGTGGAACAAATGCATGCTGGAGAGACCTGGATTTTCAGTTGTCATCGAAGCCAAGAGTTTTCTAAATGCTTACAAGAAATGATAGACTAAAACTACTTACTAAAAATGAAGCCCATGAGTGCTTCTTGCTATAAAGGCCAATTCAGGTTAGGGAAAGTTTTTTCTTACTGTATTATGAAATCCACACTGTGGAAAAAGGTGAGGACTACCTAACAAGACCATGGCACACAGATGGAGCTACTGCTGTGGCAGAAAACTTGATGCATTTCAGAGGCAAAATACTTTGAAATATCTGCTGTTCAGGAAGGGGCAAAGCTTTGTGTTCTTAGAGAAGGAAATCTCCCCTCCCCCCACACCCTTTAAAAAAAAAAAAATAAATAAAAGATAATAGAAGTTCTGTAAATGCAAACTTTCTTTTGCACAGAAGCAACCTAAAATGGAGACAACATATGTGGTTTGAATTTCCTAACCAAACAGTTCATAGATCCTCTTCAGAAGAAATATAGTGTCTCAAGGGCAGTGTATATTTTGATTGCTTCGTCTTCTGAAATTTGCAGTTAAGCTAAGGCATATGATAAACCGAGAGAGAAAAGTTTAATGATGAACTCACAGAAATCAATAAAAGCTTTCCTGTTGACTGCACTAGAAGCAGAGCCAGTGCATATACCATTCATAAGTTGAACAAATGGATCCTGAAAACTCAGGCTGGCTGCTTAAAAGATCAAGCAAATCAAGGAATAAAGTCACATAAGACATTTCTGTGTGTAAAAAGGCTGTGGGTTACAGGATTAATTTTTTATCATATATCTCTATGCTGTGAATAACCAAGTAAGCCTTAACTTGTGGAATCTTAATAGCCATCTCATTGCTAAAGTCTAAAGGAAACCCAGAGGAAACTTAATAATATTAAAAGTTATTTTAAAGGGAGTTCACATTGGTTTGAAGGATATTTAGCTTCGCACACAATATCCACCATTGTAAATTCAGAGAACCTAGATTTAAGTTCAGAAAACCTCCACACATCTTTACAGCCCTCAGTATATAAATCTAATAGTATTCTTAAAATGTCCGCTAGTAGGGTATTAATCTTTTACAGATAAAATTAAAATTCTGAAAGACTTTGGAACAAAAACTAAAGAAAAATAGTAAAAATATTCCCTCTAGAAATGAGGGGAAACTTGGAACTTTGTGGTAAGAGGCTAGTTTGTCCATGTTGCAATGAATAGAGAATAGTCTGTACAGTTTTTCATATCTGACTTGCACCAGAAGATTGGAACATATAGAAATTAATGTCACTGAATTATTTAATAGTAACTCAATCACATGAAAAGAAGAATTAAAGAAACACAGGACTAAAAAGCCATTTAAAATGAAATCAGAAGCTTCAACAAATATATTTTTCCCTTGCAGTCAAAAAAGTAATTATCAAAATTGTTCAGAGTATGTTGCCAATTACTCTGCTCCATAACTGCTAACTTTCTCAGTTCTTCTCTTGCTTTTGCTGGGCTCTCTGTCACTGGAAACATCTTAAACCAATTTAAAGTGCTACACCTGAATAAACATGTTGTAAAAGTGTTTATGTATTGAAGTGGGTCAGTTCAAGGTATGGTATTTGGCTGGAACTTCTAATTTCTCTTTTTACTGCAAAAGGGCTGCCAGAAGGAGGAAGTCTGAGCTGAATTAATACATTTGTTACAGTGGAAGTAGAATGGAAACTACTTTAACCACAAATCAAACTGCCTCTTTCATTTACGCCAGTGATAGAGTTTTTCTAAGAATTATAGACTCTGGCATACAGCCACTGTAAGTTTGTGTTTGAAAAGGAAACCTACATGCTTATTTCTATAAGGTTTACTCCTATGCTTATTTGCAAGTTCTTTTTCAGGATGATTGAGTTAATGGCATTATATATTTGTGAGGCAGATGCTTCTTTGTCGCCCATGTAGCAAACTTTTCCAGTTGGTGTAGAAGGATCCCCAGGCGGGCTGATGCTGCACAGAGCAAATGGTGCCTGTGCCCATACCTTCCTGCTGAAGGACCTCTGTGTCCCCCACCCAGCACAGCTGCACAGCTTCACATGACACTGTCTCATTTTCTGACGGTTGAAGGGCTCTGCATAATACACGTACGCACAAAAGTGTTTATGCTGCCAAAATAAATTCTGTTAAGAGCAAGGGTTTATTTGCTAAAATGTCACTGATGCAGTTCAAGTGACTTGTTTTGCTTTCTTTTCTTTCAGTGAGGTTTAGATCCTATAATAGAGCGAGGTTACCACACAGTACTGACTGAACAAATATTTTAAAGAAATATGCACATCCCCTGGGAACAGAACCAGAGTCAATAATGTACATATTTCAAACTCTGTTCTCTTGAACAACTGAATGCCTTCTTACCTTTACTAGTGAATGAACATCAGTTTGAGTAACACTGCACAATATTTATTTTTAAAGCAGAAGTATATTTATTATCTACACTTCTATGCGCTACTGATTTGCTTCGGGTATATAAGGTTCCACATCTCACACTCCAGTGACGTAAAAATTAGATGACTGCATTACATTATCCTTTCTATAGCCTATAAACTTTAATGGGGCTCATTTATTTTTCAGTTCTATAAATGTGTACACGAGACTGAATTTAGATATCTGGGTAATGAATAAGTTATATATTGCACAAGAGACAACAATTTTATGCAATGAAAAACTAAAGCTGTTGAAACTTTTGTAAATTGTTGAATTTTTGGTCTTTTTAGTTCCATTCAACAAAATGTGGTTAGGATTCTTAATCATGTACATTTGGGATTATGGGCAAAATCCTTGCCATGCTTCAGTCAGCAGTTGATCTCCCACTGTGGCTTCAGGAGGGGCAGAAGTTCACCTTTTAACTTAACATTTCCATTACTTTATAGGTCGAAGTATCAATGTTAAATCCGCTGGCCTGATAGGAAGACATGGGCCTCAGTCAAAACAACCATTCATGGTTGCATTCTTCAAGGCAAGTGAAGTGCTTTTCCGTTCTGTCCGAGCAGCCAACAATAAAAGGAAAAATCAGAATCGCAACAAATCCAGTAGTCATCAGGAGTCTTCTAGGATGCCAAGTGTTGGGGGTAAGATGAAGCTATGATTTACTAGCCTGCTTATAGGAATTATGGGTACCTGCTCAAATGCAGTGGAGCCACAGCAGTTCAACGAGATACTGCTCATTGGCTGAACTGTCAAAGACTGTCTTACCACTCCATTTCTACCTGCCCCTCTAGCTTTGCTTAAACATCTTTTGTTATGTTGATCCTGAGCATGATTTACATTCTGTGAGTCAGGTCACTTACGTGTATAATGGCCGTGAAAGTGTCAACTGTTAATGAGTTTAGACCAGCTGACATGTACTGATGTAAATACACAGTGTATTGCTGAATGGAGTGAATTCAATCCCTTATTTACCTGAAAGGTATTGACAATAATGCATGTAAAAATGTTGTTAGTCCCATTAGAGCCTGGAATAAATTTTGCTCCCATTCCTTTATGAAATGTTCCTTTCAGCTGGAGTCAAAGTCACTTCTAAATATTCTCACTTTTGAACAAACGTTTCTACTTTCCAGGGACAGTATGTGAACCTGTATCTTTCTAAAAGCATGGCACATCTCGTATCAGCACATGAAAACCTCAATATAGATGTTATTCTTAAACCCCATGGATGTCTGCAAGTAAGCAAATTAGTATGTAGTGTAAAGAATTCAGCCCGGGAGTAGAACTCACTATTATGCATTACTTATATCCATCTGAAGAACCTTCACAGTGGCAGATAGAGACCTAATGTAATGCATAAGCTTTTCCCTGATCTTCTGCACAAGGATGAATTTTACCTTAACAACCACAAACTGTTATTGAGTTGTTAAAGAAATCATAGAAATTAGTTTGATAACTTACCGTTCTAAACTTTTAATTTAAAAGTTTACCTGATGATCGAGTGGAATAACATTCCACTTTGAGGTTAAAAATTAGTATGAAAACGTACCTGGAAAAAAAAGTTTTTCACTCACAGCAGTAATTATTACAGCTTCAGTACTGGGCTCAATTTTATTTGTATATGGTGTATAGGTAGAAAAAGCACTGAGCTATTTCTCTAGTTTCCATAGAGGACCTGAGCATAGTTCTTTCTGAGGTAGATGATTTAGACATGTATGTTCCTTTGGAGCTTATGAAAAGCCCCTGACATTTGTTAAGGCACCAGGGATCTCTGTTTACAACTGGTTTTTGTTTGGGGTTATCTGAGTGTTGTAAAATTTTCTGATAGTCTGTATGACTACACAACAAAAGCTCATCTGCACAATTAGCTTCTAACCTGTTATTAGTCATGTTGCAGGGGAGCAGTTATAAATAAATAATGAAAGAAGTCCCAAAATGGACAATTTCAGCTTTTTATTAGTAAAAAAATAAATTAAAAATCTATAGCAGAACAGCATGTTTTAAATTATTCATTTATGAAGTTATATTAACTAAACACTCTCTTCATTAACTGCTTAAAGTTCTTCAGATTTTTTTTGAAACAATGTAAGTTAAAAATTGACTTAGCATCTTGTCATTCAGATGTGGTTTAAACGTGTACATCAGTTAAGCTTCCTAGCTGGTGCTCGCTCTAAATTTATTTCAGTGGATGAATTGAATTTGCATTTTGTGTTGTTCAGAATGACCAGCTTTTTTTCTGCAGAAAATGTTCTTTCTATTTCACTGGTACCATATGATGTGTGTCCCTATTTTCATAAAACGGCTTTGGAATGAACGACAAAACATGAGCGTTATCTTGTGGGTTTTTCTGGTTTTGGTTTTTATTGTTTTTTTGGTTTTTTTTTTACATATGGTCAAACATGATCTGTGCAACTGCATTAACTCCAAAATACAATCTCTTACCTCAAGGGTAAGTAATGTCTCTGCACAAAAAAATACTTTAACAAGAATTTTCATATTTCCTTGAAAATGTCTACTAATTTTGAGAATCACACTATTTTGGGGGAATGGAAAATCATCTAAGTACATAGTACACATAGGATACCTAAATATAAATATCATACTTTCAGATTGAATCTTATGGTTCTAGTCCATTAGGAAATAAGAACTGAACAGATTTGTTAAGCTGACATGATTATAGCAGGAAAGCTGAACACAAGCTCCTTGCTAGTTTAACCTGGGAAAAACTCAACACATGCCAGCAAGTTGCATCATCATGAGAACTAACTCAGGAATAGGTATGTCTCAAACGACCAGTCAGCCTCATCTGTGCATTCAGTTGTGTTTCAGAGCTGTTGTAAAACAACAAAAATCAGAACATCTCTAGTGAAATGTGCATTATGAAACAAATTTTCTCCTAACATCTTGAAGTACGTGCAGTTGCATCAAAGGCAGGGGCATTGACCTCTGACTGGAGATGAAGGCAGCAAGATATGGGCAGGCTGGAACAGGTGGAAAAGCTGAAGGCAGAAGAGTAACCTCAACCTCACAGAACAATGTCCTCTGTAGCAAAAGAGGAGTAGTTCCCACACCATGGCAAATCAGCTTCCATGGTCTTGTCTTGCAGTTTGCCTCAACAGTTCCCATACAACAAATAAAACCTCTCCTTTTATTTGGGTGCCATTAATGATCAGTGATGGGACTCTTCATAAGTGATTCAAAACCACATTTTCTTTTAATAACTATTGCAACAATACTCATTAAAATCTGCAGATGAGCACGCTGATGGCTACAAAGGCAATGTGCAGATTCTATCCAGATGCTCCAGTGTGCAAAAAACACATGGAAGAGAGAACACATTCTTATTTCCCATATCTTTGCATCTTTGCAGAATACAGTCCTTCCATAGGGAGAGCCATTTTCCTCCTATTCACCAGTCCCAGGAACTGGGGAATATGCTGAAATCCTGCAGGCTTGTGGGAGAAGGCTAATTCTCCTAGTTCTCTATAGCTTCCCAATAATGAGCAGTGCTTTCAAAGTATAATTTAACTCTTCATATTTAAACCACAGAAAAAACCTAAGAATATGGCCTATCATTTTCCTCATGGCAGACTGTCAGTGGACCATGCTCAGTTCTTATTTACCCCCTGATGCAAGACAGTGTTGGTGTAAATGACAAAGTGATGGGCAAATGCCCTTGTGTGACGTAGGGCCTTGTTTCTGAACTTGTTACATAATCTTGTATCTACAGTATCTACGTCACACATTGACTATGAAAAATGCTCATCTACATAGCCAGAGATTATGTAGCCAGACCCAGATAGGTATGCTGTCATTTCTGTCTCACAGTCTGATTATACTTCTATTTGCATATTAATCCCAGTTTTTACTACAGCCATGCCTTCCTTTTCTCCTTGCTTTTTTCTTCTTTGATTTATGTTTCTTTCCCCCTCCTTTCTTTCCTTTTTTTTTTTTTTTTCTCTTTCTTCTTCCATTTGCCTTGCCTTTTGTCATATTTCTTTTGCCTGTTGCCTTTTGTCTTCTTCATTTTTCCTTCTTGTTTAAGTTCTTGGACCTCAGCAATTAGCTTTACTGTATTCTCAGTACATCAAAAAGGAAAGCCCCACTGGGCAACTCAGTTCTTCCCTTCCAAAGGACAATGCATTTTTTTAATTATTCATGAAGATATACATAAACACAATGTGAAGAAAATAAAATCTATATCTGTCAGTTATTATAACAGCTGGGCAACTGTTGACAGATTTGGGGTCAGCATCCCTGTGTTGCTAAGATCTTCAAGAGAAGATGACCTCAATGCAGCGTGAAGGCAGACAGAATTAAACTTAGCATTCAGACTCCACCTGCCTGCTGTGCACAGAGGATTGAACTGTTTATTACTCACGCAGTTGTAATTTTGTCAAACTGTAGATAAAAGGAAAAATATTTAAAACAAATCAAAACAAGACAACTTTTCCCAAAGTACATCACATAACTCTTCCTTAAAACAAAAGCTGGCTTAATTTTATTTTTTTCAACATCATCTAAAAGAAGTGTAACTGGGCACTAGAATATATTCACATTTAAACAGGAATAGTGACATACACCAAGAAGTTCAAAAACAAAGTTACATATTTTTTGTTCATAATGCAGTGAGATAAAAACAAAAAACAATACATAACTCTGCATTTCCTGAATTTTACTGGTTGGTGTGCCACTAATTGATTAAAACCACAGTACTTTGTGATAGCATATATAGACATGTCTAAATGTCTTTATTTCCCTTAAAAAGAAAAAAAAATCCTCATTAAATCTCTTCTATTTTCTTACCCCTTTTCACAGCTCTTTCTGCTACGTAGGGGTTTGGACCCCAAATACAGTCCCTGAATAGCTGATGAACAATGTTTTCTTAGTCACAATAGCCTATGGTTTTGGTTCTTGACAGAATAAGCATATGGGTCTTGAAGCTACAGTATGTGAAATTGAATCCTTGGCACCAGATCTTATAAATGTCACATTTGATACTTAAATGAAATTTTACATTACACACAACATTTGTCTTACATAAAAGATAGAATTCAAAGAAGAAATACAGACTTGCCTGAGCTTCACTTTCTTTGTAGGTGTATAGGTTAGATAGCTTGCATATGAAATGCAGACCATCTTATCAGGTGTTCTGGTGTGACTGTTCATCATCCACCTGTTAGTCTCTTCAATAATACAGAGTATGGAGACAATGAAGACATCTATGCAATGATTTACATATCGATTATTCAGCCTTTCTCCTTTAACTGTAGGGACTTCTGCTACATCCTGGTGCAAAAACTTCTGTAGATACTCTTAAATTTGAAAATGTCACAACTGAAAAAAAACTGGCAGAAGCACACTCTTCAGCTTTTGTTTGTTTGCCTGCTTGGGTGCTGTCTAAAACCAGACTGTGACTTTCCTGACTTTCTCATATGCATATCTTCATAGCTTTCCACATTTTTCAGTCATGGTTTTTCTACAAAGTTACTTGCATTCTACTTGGCTGAATTTGAAATTCCCACTAACAGCTGCAACTTAGAAAAGCTCAATATTTAGCTCCTATGAGCACTGTTATCCATCAAAATCAGTATATACATCCTTGTGAAGAGTGATCAGTGAAACATAGTTCAACTTTTTTTCATGTTAAATTTCCTTTACTTTCCACTACCTTCACTTCTAACGTGTGTGCAGAACATTCTAGATTATCACAGACAACTCAGCGCAAAGTATGACTAAGTGGTTTCTGTTATATTATAGGCATAGAGATTTTTGAAAACTTGTGATGTTTTAGGTCATCTTGCCTTGCTTCTAGTGTCTATTCCAGAAAGTCACAGGACTCCCATAGGATGTGGGTATATATTTTGACCTTACATGCCCTGGGACAACTGAGAGTATCTGAGATGGCAGCAGGTAACTAACTACTTGTACAGAACCTTTAATGACCATCATTGAGAATCAGCCCATGAAGGGCCAGGAAAATACCATAGGAAAGAAGGTAGTATTCATCTCTAAAAAGGAATGAGGATTTGAGGTATGATAGTTTAGAAAGCCTAATTTAACATCTCTGGTGGTACTAGAACAAGTTATTTAGTATTGCAAATAGATATATCTTGACGTACAGTTTTTGACACAGTATCAGGAGACATATTGGGCCCCAGGTCTGTTCAACAGAAAGTAGGTACATAGCCTGTTAAAAGAAAAGTAAAAGCATATTCAAAGAGCATGTTACCAATAAAATTTGGGTGGGTAATTTGAATGACATCTCATTGAGGCTCTTCTGGATCTGATTCAGGCCAATATTTTATTGGATGATTGATCACTCCTCCTGGATCTGGTATCCTCTGTGAACTTGCAAAGAGCACACTCTGTTCTATTGTCCAGATTACTAGCAAAGAAATTAATCAGTATTGGCACCAGTACTGATCCTTTAGGGACATCCCTAGTAACCAGATGCCAGCTGGAATTTATAGCACTGATCACAACCCTTTAAGCCCAGCAGCCCAGCCAAGTTTCCACCCATTATATTCTTTACCTATCCAAACCATATCTGACCAATTTGGCTCTAAGAATACTATATGAGACCATATAAAAACCTTCCTAAAAGCAAAGTGAACAATGCCCAGTGCTCTTTAAAAGCTCACAAAGCTCATCATCACAGAAAACAGCCAGGTTGCTTAGGTACAGTCTGAACTGGTAAATCTGTGCTGACTGTTCCCAAACACTTTCTTGTTCTTCATGTGCCTGGACACATCTTCCAGGAGAATTTGCTCCACAGACTTCCCAGAAACTGAGGTTAAGCTGATTGCCCTTCTTGAAGATTGGTGTGACATTTTCCACTTTTGAATCATCAGAAATATCTTCCAGTCACTGTGAACATTCAAAAATGGCAATTGCAGTGGTGTTGGTTAGCTCATTCATTCCCCACCCTGAAATTCAACCCTTCTGCTCATATAGACTCGTGTATCTTCGATTTGCTTAAGTGGTTCCTAACCCTTTTACTGTGGATAGAGCTTCAGTCACTAGGCCTGGGGACTTTGGAGTCCTGAGGGTAAATCTTGCCAGTAAAATACAAGATGAAGAAATCACTGAGTACCTTAACCTATTCTGAGACCTTGCCACTAGGTCCTCTGCCCCACTGAATGATGAATCTGTATTTTTCTTTTTTTTTTTTTTTTCTTTTGCTATGAATATGCCTGTAGATGTCCTTCTTGTTGACCTTCACTTTCCTTACAAGTTTCAATTCCAGATAAGCTTTGGCTTTCCTAACATACATCCCTGCATGCTTAGGCAATGTGTTTATATTATTTCCATGTAGCTCATCTCAGTTCTACATTACATTTATTTCTTAGTTGAATTTGAGTTCAGTCAGGAGTTTCCTATGCAGCCACAGGGGCTTTGTGCCATATGTGCTTGACCTGCACAGGAGAGTGGACTCACCTTGTGCTTCTCTCAGAGGCTGTCCTGGTAGATCATCCAGCAATCCTGGTCTCCTTTGCCCTCCAAGCCAGTCTGCCATGAGATCACGTGAAGATCTCTGAACAAGATGAAAACTCTTCTCTTAAAGTCCAGGGTTGCAATGCTGTGATTAATCTTTGTCATCTCTCAGAACCTTTTAACTCCACCATATCATGGTTGCTGCAGGTCCATCATGCTGCAGTTCTCATCAACATCCTCAACCCATCCTGTTCTTTATTGATTGATTTTTATAAATACAACATAATCCTAAAGACATTAGGCAGGACTATATAAGAAAGGCATCTGGAACTGATCATTTGACAGTGTGGTTTTGCTTCAAAACTCCCGTTCTGGGATATACTCTGAGAATATAATCTGGAAATTGTAGGAAATATTTTACTTTATTAGGCATTGTGTTCAGTTTTGGTCATCACATCTTCAGAAAGACACAGATAAATTGGAGAGAACCCAAAGAAACAATGATAGCACAGATCAGGAAAACTGACAAGAAGCAGTTGACAAATTTGCAGAAAAGCTCCTTTAGGCCAATTATTTGAAGAGTTTTCTCTAAGGATAGTGAACTTCCTTTAATTTTATGTGAAAAAGGCCTCTCTCTTAATTTTCCAGGAATTTTTCAACAGAGACCCTCCCATCCCAGCCTCAAGTCTGGGCTTAATGTTAAAAAACTGTTCCTAAAAAAATTCTATTCCTGAAAATGAAGACTTTGTTTCTTTTTCAACGTCTTCCTTGTTTGTTCGGGTGGGTTTTTTGTTGCTGTTGTGAATTTTAGCCAATTTTAGCCAATGGTTATTTTGGTCTGAAAAAGCTACTTCAAGCAATTTTGAAATGGAACCAGAGGAGACAGCGTGATCTTCCTGCATGCCTCACTGATAGCATCACTTGAATAGCACTATAAACCAACTCTGGGGTGCTAATATGGTGAAGGCATGACCCTATTACCTTCCTTTCCTGTTTCTCAGGAACAGTAAGGAACACGTACTAGATTTTCTCCAAGATAAAGATTGCTCTGGAGAAGCATGTATGGAAGGTTCTCTATGTCCTTCTATCCTGACATGTCAAACAGTGCAAAAACATCCAGGCCTTTAAAAAAACATCTCTTAGTCTACTTGTTTACTTTAGTATTACCAAGTAAAGATCATCACCTGGTCAACATTTCCATGGTAAAAAAAGGAGGAGTACAAAATGTGCTAATGTTTAACAGACTTGGAAATTCTGTTGCTTCAGGACAATTTTCATCATTGTTTATCTTTTGTATTGGTTTATTTTCTTTACCTAGTAATTAAACCTGCACCATCGTACAGGTGACTTGTCCATATCTTGGATCAGGGTCTCACTTGTCCTCCTTCCATTACCTGTGTGCATATTATCAGAGTTGTTACCTAGCTAGGCAGCAAGCAGACATCTTGTGCACGTTTCCCCTAATGCTGTATGCATTATCTTGTCTGTGTACACCAATTTTATCAGGCTGACACTGCTGATTCTGCATTTTCAAGTTCACACTGCCTTTACGACCAACCTTAGGAATACAAATGACAGTGTGTTTGTTTCTTTCCTTTGTACAGCTTGGTGAGGAGTTCAAAAATACCTATTTGTTGTCAGTTCTAGCAATGCTTCTAAACATTTTATTATTATTTTCTTCTTGTAGATTATAACACAAGCGAGCAAAAGCAAGCATGTAAGAAACATGAACTTTATGTGAGTTTTCGAGACTTAGGATGGCAGGTATGATTAGAAATGCTGTTTCCTATCAATTCAAATCAGAACAATCTATTTTAAAGTACTCTGTTATTTACAGTCTGTTTTCTTCATGGTAATTGGTATTTAACTAATGACAGACAAGTTCTTTAATTTTGTATGTGCATGTTGTAATTAATCCCTATCATTATTGCTTTACCTTTTTTTGTCTGCTATTCTCTCAAAGATTTTGCATACATTAATGGCTTTATGACCTGGATTTATTCACAAAAAGATAAATCTAACCTATTACTCAGATATGAATAGATCTGCAGTAAGTGTAAACAAAATCCCCACATTGATCAATGGAAATTTAGAAATTTGCACTTGAATTCTCACTGGTTCAGTGATGTCTACTGCAGGTCAAAGAGATTTCACTGGAGTAAGGTTCTTAGGTACCTAGAAGTGGTCTTTATAACACCATAGCTAGATGTATATAATTTATGGGAAAAACTTGTCCTGCCATACAGTAACAAAAAAAGAAGGTACTTATAGTAAAAGGTTGTAAAGAGAGAGGCAAGACATTATGAGAAAATAGAGATCAATGAAGGGTTTTTTTCCAGAAAGCAAGGAGATCTCTATAAAGAAAGAACAAGAAGGCCATCAGCAACCTATAACCTAGAAATACTGCACAGGTAGGTAAGAACTCAGAGATGGCTGTCTGTGAATTTCACATTTCTCTGCATTATTTCAAAACAATTCTCCATGAGCAGAACAAGTCTATGAGGAGAAAAAGTGTGCTATTATCTTTAGTGATAGCTCATCCTTTACATATCTAGCTTAGATTCTCATATGGCCTCATTAGTTTGACTGGTATTTTGTAGTATACTTCTCCTCACAGCAGTCTGAAGAAGTAGGCAGAGATAGTTTTCCCAAGTCTGCAGAGCATAATCACCCTGTCCATGGCCACAGACCAGACTTGTGGTATTGACTTGAACTCAGGCTACTGAACAAGTGAGCCATTGCCTCTCTGTAGATCACAGATTTTTCCAGGTATCAACCATTATTTTCATTTTTTGAAACAGTAAATTCTGATATGTCCCAAGATGTGCAAGACACTCAGATCAGTCACTCAGGGTGGTCATAGAGAAAAGAAAATCTATGTTTTTCACAAAAAATACTTGAATTTGAAGTTTCAGTTGGAAATCCAAAGCTACACTGTGCAATATTTGATCCGTGAAATTCAGGGTGAAATGAGATAAAGAAACAAAGCCCAAGAAGTAGGCACTTCCCACAGCACCTCCATTACCTTTGCCTGTCAAAGGAGGAATTCAGCAAACTAAACACATAGCTTTCATTAACATTTTAAAATATTTTCCCTCTTGTGTTGTTTTCCCCATGCTGTGTTACTAGAAATACTCAAAATGCATGATTCGGCAACATTCCAACTGGTAATCTCTAGCAATCCTCAGTCTCACGCAATAATACAATTAATGGTATTGAGTATGCCGAAGAAAAAGAATTCATTTTAATTGCTTTTGCACCAAGAAGTGCTCAAGATTTTTGGTTTCGGAAGAAAAGTATTCTGACGAATATATTTGGACCTTTAATTCTCCTTATAGTTTCATTAGGTGGTATTCAGTACAGATTTTTAAATTTAATTTAATTTTCATCTGAGTTTTGCATGAACAATCAAATACTTCTTTTATTTTTTTGGCAAAAAAAGTAATTTAGCATGCCACATTCTGAAGTTCATTTTGTCCTTGGATGTCTCAGTTCGATATAGTTTTAAATTCTCTGAGAGATGAAAAAAAAAAGAAAAAAAAAAGATTGTGTGGGTTTATGTGTTCTTGTTTTAGGATTGGATTATTGCACCGGAGGGCTATGCTGCATTTTACTGCGATGGAGAGTGTTCGTTCCCCCTCAATGCCCACATGAATGCAACAAATCACGCTATTGTTCAGACTCTGGTATGCCTCTGCCTCTGTTGTAGTTGCTTATTTTGCAGTTGTGTCTTGGAGCAGGGCTATTTCTTCGTCTCTGTTTACTAGTATTATACTTTGGTTGTTTCTGGATAAATGATAACCCATTTCAAATGCATGTTTTGATGATTATGCTGGAGAGAGGATGAACTGTCCAGAGTCGCCTGTGTAGTAGGTTTCCCTATCATCTCAAATGCAATAACCCATGAGAAGACTGTCATATTACTGGAGAACTGTGTAGACAGGAACCAAAGGGGCCCCCTGCTCCCACTTCCAAGAGTTTTTTGCAGCTTATTGAAGCTCCATGTTAACATCTACATGCTATACCTTCCAGAAATGTTGACACTTGGCCACTCTGTGGACCTCTGTTGTCAACTGTTGGCAGAGATACTTAAAATGTAATTCAATGTGAAGTTTTGCAAGCAGATGCGTTTGCATGTAAGAAATGGTGTTCAGTCATGCCTGGCTAACAAAAGCAATTTATAAATAAGTGGATCTGTTGCTCTGCCTGGTACATGTAAAAGGGGATTTGCAGCCAGCTTTCTGCCTCTGCTAGTTCTTACGTTAGTCTTGTGCATCAACTGGAGCAGCCAAAATTATGATCTTAGTTGAAGCAGCTGGCTAAGCCTCCTATACATCAGCAGCATTCAGCTACAGAAATCAAGACCTTTAGACCATGCCTAAATGTAATGCTCTGAGCCTGAAGTCTGGTCGTGATTTTTCACCTGTGCCAGCTGAAGCACTGACTCTGAACAGCATCTTTATTAGCAGAATGATTAAGAGGAGGAATGAGAGAGATACACAAGGAGGGAGGAGGAGTACAAAAGCAGAACAGGAAAGGGTTGCCATCCCTAATTAGTTCCTGGAAAGGTCAAGAAATTCAACTGCAATTAAAGAAACATGGGTTTAAGGCTTCCTCTGTTTTAAACTGATGATAGGAAAGTATCCTGACCATCAGAATATGCTGATAAGTCTGTCCATGAATGATGATCTTTTTCTTTGATTTTAACATTAAAAATCTGGGCCTGAAAAACATTTTTCCTTTCAGAAATGAGTGCAGCTACTCCCCTCCTGGGAAACCACCCCCTCCAAACCAAAACCCCACACCAAAGGAAAAAAACAGGAACAAACAAACAAACAAACAAAGTCTGATTTCTTTCTTAGAAAATAAATTCTGCTTGTGAAAATTGCCAAGTATTTCTGCATGAGAGGGGTATTTTAAACCCTCAGTATGTGCGGAGACCTTTTCCTTTCCATTCAGCTTTTAATTTATGCACCTTCTCCAAGTCCAGACACCAATGCAACATTATTCCTCTATACCAGAATTCAAGTCAGCAAGATTTACAAAAAGAAGGGAAAATGTCAGAGTTTGGAAATAAATAGGGGTGTGGTAAGGGGTTCAGGTGGAAAGGAACAGCAACTGCCAGTTGGCAAGGAATATAGTAATGTGCCTGGGAGACAATGAAGAACAGCATATATGCAATCCTGAGCTGAAAAGAAATAGGTCAGCAAAGCAATAGTTCAGCATTATGCAAACATTGTCCAGAAAAGTTGCCAGTCTCAGTGAGATCCCCAGGTTAGAGTTCCCTTCTGCAATTATGGACTGTTGAATAAGAAGTGGCCCAGTGCTACTTTCTCTTGTGTGCCTACCCTTTCCAGAAATGGTTAATCTTTCCATTATTAAGAAATCTGTATTTGTCCTATTTTTTAAATAGAATACTTAAATTTTCCCTCCTTTTCATAGCCTTTTTGGAATTGTGTGTCTCCCTCTGCATGTACTGTACATGCATTCAATTGTGCAGCCAAAAAATCATGAAGCTAATTAAATTTTAACTGCACATAAATTAGATGAGATAACAGTAGTTGAATGCTTTCTGGTTTAAATTATACAAAATTCAGATTTACACAAGGTGTGCACATGGGGATGGCTTGGGAAACAACTATTCATGCACCCCACCCTAATCCATATGTAATCATCTCCCAGCCATACTGATTACACCATTCTAAAAAAGCCCACTCTTTGGGATGGGAAGTGATTTTTCCTTGGTACCCCTCCAAACTGTAATGACTCATTTTTTTTTCTTTTGTAACAAGAATAGGAGAAATGCTGGGCCAGTACCTCTCTCTCTTCTTTTTCTGAAACTGAACTTAGGCAGACAGATGATACATATAAATACAAGACAGACTCCATTTAATGAATTATATGAGCTTTGTTGTCCTCTCTCTCTTCCCATCGACCTGAGAACAGGCACTGGAGTTAGTATTGACTTCCTGGTCATGGGAGTCAGTAGATCAGCAGGTTGACTTGCACTGACTTCCAGGCTCACTCTTGAAAATGCTGTGAGCATCACTATTGTGTGGGGCTAGCAAAGCCATGTAGCTCCCAGCTGGGGTGGCAGGGGCTAGAGGGACCAGGAGTTATGGCAGGGCAAACATCTGCCTAGACAAGGCACAATCATTCTTTTCTTTAGTGCTTTGCTATTCATTTGTTAAACTGTTTTTAAATGTGTGTCTAAAACCTTAGTAAACTGCTACTTTAGGATTTATTATTGCTCATTTCAAAAGACCTTCTCATGGTAACAGTTATGTAAAAATCGTTTCCTGATAGACTGTTCTCTGTTGTCTGGCAAAGGCTCTGCGCTTGTATCAACTGCAAGACAGATGGCTCTAACAGATTTACAAAGACTTAACATACAAACGAAACCTATTACTGCTGAAGTCTTCATCCATGCCTTAATAATCTCTTGCCCTCTCTATTACAACTCCCTCTTTTATGGCCTCCCCAGTTTCCAAGTCTTCAGCATGTGTAGAATATTACATCCAACCTTCTTTCAAGTACAAAGAACTTGTATTTCCCCCATTTTCAGATATTTCCACTAGATCTTGTTCGTTCTGGGATGATGTTCGAAACTCTTTTCCTTCTCTTTAACCTTTCATTGATATATTTCAGCCCAGTGAACATAAAGCCTTCTCTGCCTCAGCCCTTTCCCCAAACCTTCCGTCCAGCTGACACCCACCTTAAGAACTGATTTTTGTTTCAGTGGAAGTAAAATTGGACCCACAGATGCCTAGATAAGACTTTAAAATGCACTCATGCTGTCTGAAAACCCACATCTTACCATTTCATAGGCTGAAAACAGCTTCAGTATGAGCCTTTGCCTGCACAGCCTTTGCTGTCTGAAACAGACTTTCCTCTATGCTGAGACCGTGACACAAGAAAGCATTTTAGCATATGCTGCGGTCCCAGTAGAGACGGGGACTTCAGCCTGTGCTCCATGTTAAGTACTGTCCTTAGCAGAGATGGCACTGACAATATGTTTAAGTGTTTTCCTGAGCAGCTGCCTAACATTTTTTCTAAATTTCATCTGAAAACCAACTTTCTTTCTTGGCCGCTCCTCCTCATTTATCTCTCCATCTGCTATTATTGTATAACTCTGCCTGCACAATTGAAATCAGAGCAATGTTCTGGAGGTAAGCTGTGCTTTAAAGTTGCTAACCAAGGAAAATCTGTGACCACAGCACTCTCTGAATTGCAAAGACATGTTTTGCATTGATGTTGCCCTTGTACCTCTCTGTTTGATATATGAGCTATGTATTTATCTGTCTTTCAGGTTCACTTGATGTTCCCTGATCATGTACCAAAGCCATGCTGTGCACCAACAAAACTGAATGCAATCTCCGTGCTCTACTTTGATGACAGTTCCAACGTTATTTTAAAAAAATACAGGAATATGGTGGTGCGTTCATGTGGCTGTCACTAGAATTAAAAAAAAAAAAAAATCTAAAGCAGAGGGTTTTATTCAGAATTGTAATAAAGTCAAGATAGGAGCCTTGCTGATGAAAAGGCAGTCCTAAATTTATTCCATTTCATGTCATCTCTCATTTAAATGTACAGTATAATGTGTATAGTAGCTTTTATTTATTTAAAAATATAGTCTGTATGAGCAAAATTTCAGAATCATTTATTTGATGGGTCACCTCACTACACAGTAGAACTTCCCAAACTAATTTTTCAATTGACCATACTGGAATCTATTTCATTCCATTTCAGTATTTTAAAGTAAAGCCTTTGTATAGATTTTTTTAAAGCTAGAAACTCAGAACTCCTGTAACTGCTTCGTATTGTTAAAGGAACTAAAATACATTTGGTCATATTGTGCCAATGAAAACTGTGGCGGGGTATTTATTTAGAAAAAGGCACAGAAAAAAAACTAAACAAAACTGCTTGGCTAAACGTATTTTTTCTTTTAGAAGTTCTGCTCCATTAGAAAAAGTGAAATGTTGAACAGTGCTTAAGTAAATAAATAGTAGATAGAAAATAGAAGTGAAAAGATTGCACATAATTGTTCTATTTTCTTTAACAAGATGACTGTAACTGGAGTAGTATGTTACTTCTTGGCTTGTGGGCTGCAGAGTTTGCAAAAGGATCAAGAGCTTTGTGAATTCTGTGGAGACACTTTCATCTCTATCTTTGACTTTTCAAGTTAATACTAAAAATTGAACTACAACATTCTTACCTCAAATCATACCAGTCTATTATCCATTACATCGCTCCGGCAACAGAAATCAAAACCGAGGTTTTTCCTCTAAATTCTGCTTTGTTCTTTCACTATCAAGTATCACATTCCCATTAAATGCACAAGTTACTATATACACAAAATATACACAAGACAGGCCATGGAAGAGCTTTGCTTTACCTAGCTCCCACTTTTGGATGGGTTTTCTGAGTATGCAAGGGACGGCACAGGGGATGCAGCAGTTGTCACCTGTTTAATTGAGAATCTTGTCCCCAGTGGTGACTGCTTTCAGGCAAAGATGAAAACCACATTTTATAACGAGCCATTGGGTGATTTGCAGCCTACTTTTGGTCTCATCTGTTTTTCTATCTGGTGGAGATCGGTTTAAATCATGAGACTTATATGGGATATCTTTCCCTTATTTTAGCATTAACTATTGGAACTTTGAAAATTCTTAAATCCGTATAAATAATTTTTAATCTCCCTAAATTTTTGGCCTCAAATGAAATCCTGTGGTTGTGAATTGCACAATTAATTACAGATTATAATTACTACCACCCATATGCTTATTTTGAATTAAGCACATTTAATATCTTGGACGCCCCTTTGTTTTAGTGCTATGAAAATAGGAATATAGAATTTCTGTCTTCTCTTTATTACATGGCTGATTATAATATATGCTTTTATCATGAATTGCCTTGATTAAAAATTTAAAGAGTTCTCAGAGAGTTGTTAAAAAATGAATAGAACATTATCAATTTCTTTTTAGACAGTCTATTCATATAAACTCTGACTTCTCTGGTTGTTTAAAGCATATTTCAAGAAACTCAGATTATTACAGACTGATAAAATCAGCATGTGTGTGTGACTGTCTACATGTAAATGAGCAACTGTCTTTTTTGCAGAAAATAATTTATTTTGCCTTGCTATTGGAGTAATACAGAAATCCATTCTATGCATACACTCTGGGTTGTTTTTTTTTTTCAAATAACAGTTCTGTTTTTAGTCTTGGGAGGTATTTCACCTTAATACACCAGTTCCACTTTACACTTGCATTTCTATTTTATACTGACATTACTTACATATCTATGGTTAGCTGCAGTTCATGCACAAGGTTGCATAGCAAAATATAATGTCTCCAACTGAATCACCATTTTGGAACAGTTAAAATCCTGGGTTATCTTAAAAATTTACTGGTTTCTGTATAAATTATGGATATGCTTATCTGAACTCAAATTATTCTAAATGGAATTTGATGGAAACTAAATTTTGGGTACATTAAGTAATATATTTTTTATTAATGGTGTACCATTTTGAGAATAAGAAACTGAAGATTATTGTTATTTTATTCTTAAAAATATGCTGTTGGAATATATTTCTATATTTTGAGACATAATAAACATGTAATACTATTTTTTTTTCTACTGTGATTTTGTTTCTGAGACACATGATAAAATGACACTGACATCGTATATTCTTTTAAAGGTAGGTAAAAGCAATCACCGGTAATTATGGATAGATTTTGTTGCAGTTCATTTTTGCAAAATTACTTTTATTTTGCTACTACTTCAACTGCAGCTGGCAAACCATCTACACTAATAATAAAAATCATCCCTTCGAATCATGACTCCAAATGTTAATACTCTACTCAAAATATACTACAAAGGAGAAATAGTTCTTAAAAATCTCCATAAATCCCTAACTGTTCATTCCTCTGTCTGCATGCTCTGGATAAGTGTATATATGTGTGTTTTCATGTAAACTTGTTCAGTAGTTCTTAATACAGGACTTTTTGTTCTTTTGCTTGGTCCTATCAAATACCTGTTATTTTATGTATATTTATACATAATATATACACACATATCTATAACAGAATGTTTATCTAATTCTATTAAATTATATTAAATATATAGCCATATCGATAGCTATATCTATTTCTATAACAACAAAGACTATTCCATTATCATTCAGGACACAAGAGCTTTGTTCTTTTTAAAGTTGTTCAAGCTTTCTGCATCCTTAACAACTGGAAGGAGTCAAAAGGGATGAAAACCAGAAAACCAGAAGCAGCTCTGTACAGAATTAATGTTACGTTATGGCTTAGAGCTTCTTAGTCTTTAACTTACTCATAATGTTAATACCATTGCTACATATTCTGGTCCAAAACTAAATGTTTAGAGGATGTTACTAGTGACCACTTCTATTGCTTAGGAGTATTCACCCAGTGGAAGTCAGAGTTGAGAGGTGAATAGTATTGCAGCAGGGATTTCATTTCCCTTTGGAAGCGCATTGTTCTTCAAGTGTGATTTTGATGTCCAAGACAAGGTGAGCGCTGACTGACTGAAGTATGGAGCATTTATAAATTCTCAGATGTGCTAAGCTGTGAACCCATATAACAGCCTTCCTTCAGTTAGACCACTTGATGGGCATCTCTCTTTTATCTGGATGCCCTTTTCCACAGTGTGTCTGTAGACTTAAGTTTTTCTGATTTTGGCTTAAGTTTTCAAATTCATTAATTAGGGAGCAGGGGTGGGAGATGTTTTCTGATAGTCAAAAACATACTTGTTTGGATATCTCAAGCTAAAAATTAAATTCCTGTAAAGCTGTCTGGTACTGGCAACACAGCAATACATTCAATTTCAGCTAGAGATATTTGAGAAAAAAAAAAAAAAACAACAACCAGCTAGAGATATCTTGGGCAGATATCAGTGTGGATGTCTTCAAACAAAAAGGATGACCGTTCCTTGTTCTGTGGTGTATCTGAAGGGCTGTCCTGACTGACATGTCCTTTACAACCCCATGACTCTTCCTTCTGCGGTGGCCTCTTTAGGCTTTTAGGTAAATATGCATGTATGTTGAGTGATTAGGTAGGTAATGCAAATGGAGCCATATGAGGAGCTCAGGTATCTTCAGAAACAAGAAACCAGTACTTTATAGCTGCACAGGAGAATGCAGCTGTTCATTTTGCATACTGGCACCTATAGAACTGTAGTTGGTCTTTATATTATGATAGGAGACGTCAGACAATTTGGGGCTTCGTTTTAGTACATGGTATATACATGAGTGCTGTCAGTTACATCTATACTGTAGACACCTAAACTGAGACTTTCTTTAGGGACAACGTACAGAAATTACTCTTTTGGATTGCAATTCCCTTATTTCTCTCCGAAGACCTCAAAGTGGGTTGAGGGCAATGGCTCTGCTATAGACCTTATCTGAGCAACTGTAGTCAGTGACAATTCCTGACACCTTTAAAATAAAGTTACATTGTTGAAAAAGTTTTACTGGGATGTTTAGCTGGGATGTGAAGCTTTGAGCAATCTTCTGTTATCATGATGGGATGTCAGACACTTCAATTTCAGAATATAATTTATTTTCTCTGCCACTTACTCGTAGAAGGTGGGATTGCTGACTGCATATTTCTTTTGGTTTGTCAGCTTGTCTTTTGTTTCATCAATAACTGAAGGATTCTAATAACCAGGACTTTAAAATTATGTACTTTGCAATCTCTACCAACATTTCTGCTCACAGTCAGCTGTGCATAGGGAGAATCTCACATGTGGTGCCTGAATGACGAAGAAGCCACATGTGAATTATACAGCATTATCTTTTACTATCTCATCTGCAGTCACAGAACTTGCAAACTGTGATTTACAATGTGTTACTGAATTCTTACTCACATGGCTTGAGCAAGATCTTGATTAAAAACAAAAGAAAACTAAACTAAAAATCCAACTGAAAGCAGAGAGAGGAGGTTTGCTTGCCATCTTAATTCAAATAAATCAGCACCAAACGTGGTACATGAGGGATCAGTAATCTCCTGTGAATTAAATGGGCCTTTTGTATTCTGTTTTCTATATTTATAACACATGACACAGACACTTCTCCTGACTGCTATATTTCCATCTACATACTTTCTGTTCTGTTCCTGCACTTTTTTGCTTCCAGATGGGTGCCATCAATTATTATTATTAATATGAATGAAGATACTTTCATTGCTTTAGCAGATGTTAATGCTTTTCAGAAGAGGTATTTATTAGTATTGTTACTTTACAGGTACAGAAAAGTGGAGAGACTTGCCTAAGAGAAGAGTAGATGAGAGGCAGCATAGGGGAGACAACCAGATCTCTGGTATTCTAGTGCTCTAACCCCTGTCCCACACTCTTGGTGGAGTGATCCATACACTTGACATTCGTGTCCCTGAAGTTTATAACTTTAATGAATGAAAGACAATCTTCGGGGTTACCTATACTTTGCATTTACTAAGTATTTTTCTAGTTTCAAAACTGTGGAAATCTGGGCAATTCCTGGTAAAACTGGGAATGTGCCAGGTGCAGACCACAGCTTTTCTATGTGGGGTTGGTTATATTTTAAAGCTACTTCTCGGGAACCAACCAAGATCTCCTTGAAACTGATCTTGGGGCACTTTTTCAACAGCATCATAAATCTGCACCAGTAGAGTTGAAGGCAATGATGCCTCCCTCCCTTTATTTCCTTACACATTTTCCTCCTGCTCAGTGGGAAGTTCAGCAATGCGTTAAGACTGAGACTATGTTAATATCTGTGTAGCAGGGAGTGTCTGGGCAGATGTTGGCTGGAGATATGAAAGCAACATATTTCCTAGGGAACAGTTCTCTCAGAGAATAATATTGAAGCAGAGATGTGGGAGCAGGACCTTCTCTCTATAACTTGCCCTGGTCTCTTCTGGACTTGTGAGCAGAAACATTTGTAAACACGAGAAAGCTCTTTAATTAAATTGTGAAAACTTGGAGGGGGCTCTTTCTGGCATTTCTGTCCCTGATAAGTCCTTCCACAAAGGAGAAATTCAGGCTCAACCCTGGAGCTACTCAACTGCAGAGACCAAAAGTTGAACAAGATGTGGTGGAGAAACATGACACATGTATCAAACTCCCTAAACTGACATAATTGGAAAACAAAGCTTTTCACGCCTGATTATTTTCTTGATTGCTGAGCTCTCTCGCAATAACTTGCCACAAGAAAGTGTGTTCCCCTTTATTCAGGCAAATTATACATCGACCACTA